TTAAGCTGTTGTTTCGGTGCTGGGCTAGGCCTTCATTACTGTCGTTGTGCTCCTCACGCTCACTGCATGCAACTCATTACACTGTTCAAAATTATCATTTTGGCTCTGTATGAAATTGTTTATTCTAATTGAACGTGCACATTGTGTCCAATTTATATTGTATTAACAAAGACATCGTTACCATTTACTCCAAGATCAACACCAAGAGGGGCAATGTCTTCAAGAGTAGAAAGAGGTACGTTACATGTCTCTGATTAATGTACATGTGTAGAGTTTTGTCACCTGAAACAGAGAACTCCTTAAATTTCATTGGATGTTAAAAAAAAGTTTACATGGAAGATAAATTACAGCAGAATTAAGGTTAACGAAAACGATTATTTTATTCAATAATAATGCAATGCCAATAGGAATTTGACACGTGCAGTGACATTGTGTTCGCACGTGTGTTAATTTGCAGTTGAAGGGTAGCATTCCAGTGGAAGATTTTTTTTTTTTCAAATTGGTGTCCCTGAATAATTAAACTCGCTAATTTACAACAGTATTTTCAATGATAAACCTGTGACAGTGTCTCCTTCATTGTCATATTGTCTTGCAGGTCTTATGTAACTCCCTTTATGGAGAAAGTTAAAAGACGTTCTCCACCTCAGTCTCAGAAACTAAACAATAAATTGAAACAATATAAAAACTAGTCAACATTCTGGGCAAAACGTTGGTACAAGTGATGCAAACAATTAATTAGGTTTTTGTAGGTCAAGTTGGGAGGAGTGCAGACGCTGCAGGCGTGCATTATGCAGCATACGCAAAGCAAAGCAGCTGCTTGATCTGTAGGAGTGTTAGGATAATGTTATAGGCATTTAGATTCGTCGAAATATTCTCATACGCGTTTAGAAACCTCCGCACCGCGTTCTATTGCTTTTCCGTTCGACAGTAAGGCATATTCATACGTAATGTTCGGCAAACACGTGTGGTTTTTTGTGGCTAGACCGGAGACGGTAGGGTACGAAGACCATGAAGGGACATGGGAGTTATTTAGGGTTTTTTTTTCATAATACTATTACGTATGTGTTATTGTCACTTGAATATTATCACGTACGTAGGTAATATTATCACGTAGGGCCCACGTGATAATTATTACGTACGTAGGGCCCACGTGATAATGATTAAGTACGTATACACAACGTATACTCGTTTAAGGATACACGTATTATCACTTACATATGCAATACATGTACGTACGTAATATGTACTTATTTATCAGGTATGTACGCAACAATAATTTATTGCGTTAGTACGTAATATTATATTATCACGTACGTATGTGATAAATTAAATGAATCACGTACGTACGTTATGATTGTCATATGTATAGAAGTAGGTCCTAAATAATAACAATATGTTCATCTCCTCTTGGTCTTCGTACCCACGTATCCGCATATCTGCATAACCGCATATCCGCGTACCTGCGTAATCGCGCGATTTCGTGTACCATACTTCGAAGTGATAAAATCTAGGGAACTGTTTTAGCAAAGTGCAATGAACAGTGTTAGGGAAAATGAAGCAAACGAAAATTAGGGAGCAAGCATAGCCCGCTGCGAGCATGCGCACATTGAGCCTGCAGGCACTGCGATGGGGAGTTTAGAAGTTTTCTTTAAAAAAAAAATTAAAAAGGATAAAAATAACACTAACTTAATGCAAACGAAAATCAGTCTAATGATTAACACTGTCCCCCTAAACTTGAAAGTACTGTTGTATTTTATTTTATATTCGCTATTAAGAAACTTCACTCGCAAATTTATAGTCGATTTTGTAATTGATTGAGAGTCATTTTGTGATGTTTTATCGAACAACTGGAATGCTGCCCTCTATACGGACATTGGCTGGTACTTTGCCCAACTCAAAACAATAATTAAACAAAGTTAGTAAAACAACTACAGAAAGTGGCAATGCCTGGTGTGTTGTCCACCAACGACGATATAATTTCTTTATAATTGTATAAAATGTTTAAGAACAAACAAGATTCATAAAATCTAGGCCATCGGCAATTGACAGTCACCATGCCTGGTGCAGTGTCACTTGTAAGGGATACCCTCTTCGGTGTATATTAGTAGCGCCGATTTTCAAGAGGCCCCTTCCTTCAGAAGAACTTGAACATTAAAACTTAAACCATTTAAAAAAAAACACGGAAGGACGTTACCACAGAGAAAATGTTGGTTAATAATTAACACTAATTCCTAAATGAGCTCTCTGTTTAGGTGACATATACGCTCTTATAGTAACACTAAAAGGTCAAAAAATGTGGGATTAACAGCGTCTGTAAAAGCGCCGCGTTGTCTATACTTTGCTAGTCTGTGAGCAGTGAGGGCATAGTTGACAGTTGACCATATTTTAATGATCGTAGTAAAATCAAAAGTCATAACTTTGGTTAATTATACTTTGCATAAATTTATATAAAAGACATTTTTATTATGTGAAGAGCTTTTAAGCTCGGTTCATTATTAAGTATTTAAAGATAAAATTATCTGTGAGTAAAAGAATGCTTACAGAGAGAATGACTTTTGGCGGAAAAAACTCAAAAGTAGATTGTATTTTGTTTCATTGTAAATGTTGCATGTTTGATTTGTTGCCTCTGTGTGCATTGCTCTCTGTGTGGTGTGATTTTTTTAATGGTATCCGTCTGTTGTCTCTGACAATAGACACAATTAAAAAATTTTAAATCAAATTAATCGTTGCGGCTACAAAAATGTCAAATCGTTAAGCAACTTTAAAATGTTAGGCAGTATTGGAATAAATAATACCCACCCGGATATTTACTTGACTACGCGTATGACGAAAACTGAAAACAAACTTCAAATCGGTCCAAAATAAATTGTAGCGAAAATCACATCGTAAGCGAATTATTTTTCCGAAAAAAAAAAATCACTCCGCTTTCTACGTGTAGGCCTACACGCTAGGAAAATGATGAAAATAACGCGAGGAAAACATCACAGCGTTAGTGAGAGTAAAATTACCCGAAATCAGTATTATTTTTCTTGCCACAAAGTAAACAAAATGGGTTATGGAAATAACAATCAAAATGACGAAAATAACGGCATAAAAATTAATCATCCGCAACGAGAGAAGTAAATACATGTACATGTACTTGCCTCAAAAAGTCGGAAAGCGAATTTTGGCAAACGGTGGGAAAATGACGGCAGCAAAAGAAAATGAAATTGACGAAATTACGAGAAAAACAATCACACCATAATGAACAAAATATCTGTTTAGAAAATGACTGAATTTCAGTTATATACAGCGGCATTTCAAAAACATCAAAATTGTTGGCATTGTCGAGAAGTGCCTTCAAAAAGACTTAATTCACCCCCCCTCTCCCCCCCCCCCACCAAAAAAAGAGTACATTGTGAAAGGGTACAACTTCTTGGCAACCTGCCGTTATCGGTGTCGGCACATGTTCGTGTGCATTATGACAAAAAAAGATCATGTCTGTTTTTAAAAATAAATAGTGGAAACATGGGTAGAATCGTTTAGTTTCTATTTGGTAACAAGTGGCCTTATTACGAGTAGGCTTAGACATACTGCTTTGGAATGTTTCACTTCAGTAACAAATTGGGCTAGGCCCAGCGTTTTCGTAACCCTGTTCACTTAGGAAAGAGTTGCAGCTTTCTTCAAAGAAACTGATGATCTAAAAGTTGAGACTGCATGGATGAGCTAGGCTGCTTTGTCTGGACGAAAATCAACCCTCCAAGGCTCCAACAGCCTCATCACACAGAAACTCGAGGAACCGGAAGCAGGGAGGAGGACCGACAGATGAACGGATGACCTGCTTGCTGGGCTACCCATTACTATTTCTTGAGGTTAGTTTACATGTTGGCCTCCTCTTCGCGGAATCAATCAAGTCACAGAACTCATCAAAATGGGCGATCTGACTCTGTTATAATGTTCTTCCACAAACAACGAGTTCTGGTAGCAGGCTTTGCTTTGTGGGGTTAATTCAATGTTTCCTTTCCCCTTTCTAGCCCTGGCACGAATACAGCTCAATAATTCAAATGTTTTCTTTTGTATCCTTTCAGAAAAATGAGGACCACTTACTGATGAGGGAATTGCTTTACTGAGATTGATGAGCCTGCCTGAAGACATCGTCAGGGCTCCAACAGCCTTATGACACAAACTCGAGGAACCGGAAGCGGGGAGGAGGACCGACAGATGAACGGATGACCTGCTTGCTGGGCTTCCCATTACTGACTATCAGGTTTGTGTACATGTAGCCTACTTAAACAGAAACAATCAAGAACTAATCAAAATGGGCGATCTGGCGCTCTTCTATGTTCGTCCACAAACAACGAGTCTTGGTAGCGGGGCTTTGCTTTGTGGGGTTATTCAATGCTGTCTTTCCCCTTTCTAGCCCAGGCACAATTACAGCTCAATAAATCAAATGTTTTTTTTTGTTATTTGAATCCTTTCAGAAAAATGAGGACCACTGACTGATGAGGGAATTGCTCTACTGGGATTGATGAGCCTGCCTCAAGACATCGTCAGGGCTCCAACAGCCTTATTAAACAGAAACATGAGGAACCGGAAGCAGGGAGGAGGACCGACAGATGAACGGATGACCTGCTTGCTGGGCTTCCCATTCCTGATTATTAGGTTAGTTTACATGTATGCCTCCCCTTAACAGGAACAATCAAGTCACAGAACTAATTTAAATGGGCGATCTGACTCTGTTATTATGTTCGTCCACAAACGAGTTCTGGTAGCAGGGTTTTGCTTTGTGGGGTTAATTCAATGTTTTCTTTCCCCTTTCGAGCCCTGGCACGAATACAGCTCAATAATTCAAATGTTTCCTTTTGTTATTTGAATCCTTTCAGCAAAGTGAGGACCACTGACTGATGAGGGAATTGTTTTACTGAGATGAGGATGAGCCTGCCTCAAGACATTGTCGGGGCTCCGACAGCCTCATTAAACAGAATCCCGAGGAACCGGAAGCAGGGAGAAGGACCGACAGATGAACGAATGACCTGCTTGCTGGGCTTCCCATTACTGATTCTTGAAGTTAGTTTACATGTAGGCTTCCTCTTAGTCACAGAACTCAAAATTGGTGATTGGCGCTTTTCTGTGTTCCTTTCACAACGAGTGCTGGTATAGCGTTGTGTTGCTTTGTGGGGTAAAAATCGAAGTTTTCTTTCTCCTTGCACATATTTCTTAATAATATTTCAGATATATTTTTTTGCGTCATTTGAATCCTTGTAGAGAAATGAGGACCACTGACTGATGAGAGAATTGTCTTACTGAGATCGTAATCTGGGAGGACCGACGATGGACTGAAACCGCCTGCTGGCCTGGCTATTACTGATTCTTGAGGTGAGTTTACTTTGACAACGAAGAAAGACCAGGGTATGAGGATTATAATTTGTTATTCCTCTGATTGTAGTTTGTCCCTCCTACAAAATCCACAGTGCTTGATTTCCTAATATATGTATTTTTCTTTTAAATTTCCTTGGTTATTTTGTCATGTTTAGGACATGACCACCAAGCTTGGACGAGACTGGACAATGACGAAGCTGCTCTACTGAGCAAGGATGCCCTCATCGGAAACTTGAGTTAAAAAAACTAGCTTGCACAATATGAAATGATAAATCAGACTGCATAATGCAACGTCATTAATGTTATACATTAAGGCAACAACACTAAAATAAAATGAAAAGTAATTTTGATTTCATTAAATTATTTATGCCTCTAAAATAATCTTAAACCGGATACTGCAACAGACAGTTAACAATGGACAATAATGGAAACTTGCTGAAGAATTATTGTAAGGTTAATAATTTGTCACTGGCTTTTGAGCAGTGACATGTCTGGGAGAAGGGATGTTCCTTTGATCTGTCCTGGGTCATCCAAAATTATTGCATCTTTAAGTTAATAATTTCATACTCCTTACCTTTAATGCATCCAATTGGATCTTCTCGATAAATTATAAACGAGGTCTCGCCTAGGGCTTTCTATTAGCTTTTTGTTCAGTTGACAATGGAGAATTTTGCTCTATAAATTTAATTTGATATTGAAAGTGCATTTTTAAGAAAACCAATTTAAGTCATAAGTGTTTTGAAAGATTTCAAAAAAGATTAATTTATTGTTTAAAAACTGAAGAAATGTAACAAACTTTATTTAAATTTAACGTTTTTAACAAGACGTCGGTTTAACTAAAACGTGACTTTCTTTCCATTGCATATTTATTAGAAAACACAAGAACGTTTAATTTTTAGGAAAATTTAAAGATAAACTGTTCAGGAACTTCTATCCATCAAAATGCATTGCAACAGGTATAAGTGACACTCAAATTACATTTGTGTTTGTCCTTTTGTGATTTATTTCATTGCACTTTGTTTTACTTGTTGTAGTTTTTACTTCGTATGCACAATTGTTTTTCTTGGTGGTTTTGCATGTCTTTTCATTTTCTTATTAATAATTAACTAACCTCACAAAAGGATAAACGCAATTATATCGAGTGTTGAACTTGCCTCGCATGAACTATTTTTTACACATAATAGCTAAATTAAACGAAATATAGTCCTGAAATGTTTCAAAATAATCTTCTTCTTTTTTTTGGAGGGGGGCATTCCCCAGTTTTATCTTCCCTTTTTTAAAATCTTATTCACAAAATGGCGAAATACAAAAACCTGGCTTTTACCGTGTACAGTCATGTAGTCGTTGCTTATGTAATAATCATCTATGATATTATAAAGTGATTATTAATTTCTCAAATTTATTGGCCTTCTGCCAAACTTTTTTCCTCATTTGGAATCTTTTGTATTTGTTTGTATGAATTGGTTAAAACATTTGTATGTCAATAAGACTAAGGAATTAAACAAAATAAATAAAACTTGAAAGATGTGAGACACTTGATATCCTTGGAAGGTTGTCAGTATTTTGCCTATTTTTGTTTTAGTTGTTGGCGGGGGAGGTCAAGCTACTACAAAAGTAAGGGGTGATTGGGGGCGGGGTGCGCACATAAAGGCACGTCAGGGAATATAAAATAATTAGGTGTTTTTGTAAGGGAAATCTTTACTCTTAAACGGAAATAAAAAAAAATATCCTAGGCTCCTATGTTCTACCTTTTAAGATTGTCCAACAAAAATACCCAAATTTGCATACGCCGGACAAATCACAATTTGCATGCCCCCATGGGCTTTTAAAAAGAACTTTTGCAAATGGGAAAGACACTTTGGAAACATCCAATCAGTTTGAATATGCTTCATGAATGTCTGAATAAACGAGCACATTTTTAAACGAGGAACTAATAAACAAGACTACAGGCAAGCCTGTCGCAAACCAACTTGGTATTAGTGGTCAAGTCATCGGACTTACTTTGGGGGGCCAAGGAGAGGCTTAAACAAGTCTATTGAAGGATGAACATCTTGACCGTAACAATACAGTGTTTTAAGTGCGACAAATGCAATTCAAATGAAAATCAATGTGTATTTTTCGCGTGTGAAACACTACATTGTTACGATCACATTATTTTTTATTATGGGACTGTTTCTCATGATATTCAATACCCCTCTGTTACACATAGTGGGAAATAATTGCACGAAATTTCAGTTGAATACATCTTGTATTTCTTGAGTTATTGATCGGAAACCGAGTTGTTAATTTTCGTCTAGTGATTTGTCATTATGTTTTACATTACGAAATTTAATTTCATCAGAAACCGTCAAACAATGAAGCAATATTGACCGTAACAATACAGTGTTTTAAGCGCGACAAATGCAATCCGAAGGAAATCAATGTGTATTGTTACGATCATATTATTTTTATTATGGGACTGTTTCTCATGATATTCAATACTCGGTTGAATAAATACCCAACAATTCCTTGAAGCTACTGCGCGAGCCCGTCTGCAATACGAATATAACGGCGGTACACGCCCGACTGCCAACGGCCCATGCGTTGGATGTCAGGTTCTGAAATTCCTGCCATAGCAGCAGCAGTAGCCGCCCCAATGCGGAAGGAATGGGATGTATAACGGGCATCATTTAAACCCACAAAGTGCAGGGCGCGTTTCAAAACCGCAGTGAATTGAAAACGGGTTACTGGATTCCCGTCAAAATGTAACAGGAAATGGGCTGTCTGTGAAGGACAAACACCCAAATATTGCTGTGTTGCTGTAACGGGACATAGCAAAGAATTACCTCTAGAAATGGCAGGTATTGCAATAGTACAACCATGACCATACTGGTCAGTTTTGGAAAAGCGAATGTGAAGTTCAACCACGGCACCGCCAGCATCAATCCTAAGGGTGACATCGGAACGACGCAAAGGGGAACTCCCGACCCACCCACCCGCAAGAAACCAAAAAAGGTCAAGAAATGCAACACGGAAAAGATTGGCTTCGAACTGACTTGAACATATTGAATTAAGGGCTGGGAGAATGCGCCGTAAAATGTCGATAGTATTGGGAAGACGTTGGTCTTGACCTGCATTACGGCGACGGCAGCCATCTAACAAACGCCTAACTATGAAATGATTCGTCACGTCAGGCAAGCTATGCAGGCGCAATGTATGTTACAACTGATAATGTAGTAACCAACGGATAACGTATCACCAACCGATAATGTATCACAAATTGACCGATATTGTATCACTAACCGATAATGTAGCAAAAATTGACTGATAGTGTAGTAAAATTTGTATCCGATAATGTATCACGTGTCGACGGATAATGTAACTACAAAATAACTGTGTCCGATAATGTATCACCACGGAACGGATACTGTATCAACCGATAAAGTATCAAAAATCAACCGATAATGTATCAGTATATTTGGAAAAGGTGGAAATATTGCAAATTAATTAAAGTCTAATAAGTGTCTTTGCTATGATAAGTCCCCACTCTGACACTAAACCGATTGGAGAACAACGAAAATTGGAAAAGGGGGGAGTTGAAAACGGGCCAGCAATCCGACCCAGTTGCCTAGTTGTCTAGTTTATCTTGCAAGACAATCTGGTGTTCGCGCGCAGACGCAAGATTACGGGCAGAAGCACTAATTCTGGGTCCCTCGTACCCAAGTCAAAAACCACGCGAAAAACCATCTAAAATTATGCTAATTATGGGCAGTTGCTGAGAGAGGGTTCGTGTTACGGGCTGCGGCGCGGTTGGAGGCACGATAGAAGCTGGCTGAATGGGCAGTGGACATGCAAGACGAGCATTTGTGGGCAAAACAAGAACCGGCTCTGAAACAGTTACCGCGGCTAAAGTCGAAGCAGATTCCGGCATTTCGATCGCGCTGGAGCATTTGACTGGTGCCGAAGTTCGGATTTGCCAAGCTGGCGACTCGTGCGATCCTATCATAAACACGCAGTCGCTGGCCGAGGAAACGCTACTACGGGAAGGCCGCAAAAGCGAGCCGAACTCAACAAATTCCCCATTCCAGATCTTTTCTTGTACGTTTTTGGGAACCCCCGACCCTAGATCGTCACAAATACTGGTAAGGGGCGAACCGCTTGTTTCGCTCGGTGGCAAAGCAGAAATAGACAAAACTGATGGACATGATTGAGTAGCAGGGGTTGTGGTCTGAGACACATTTTGGGCCAAATCTACACAAGTAGTCACTACTGGTGCGGGGCTAAACTAAGGGTGTTAGGATTGTTACCCGGCTCACCAGCCATTGCAAAACTAGCGGACTTACCAAGCCCAGAATCCCCAGCACCAGGCGCAGGCATAGGCATAACCACCGGAGCGGCAGGTCCGGCCATCCTCCATGGTCCGGCGGACGTCGGCAGGTTTGACGGCGGTGTCTCCTCCATCGTGGGCACAGGCCGCGATGGTGCAGCATTGGCGGCCCCTCGGCCCCGGCGCGGCCGAGCCGAACGAGGCCTCCCTCGTGGCCTCCGTCCCTCCGATTCCTGGTTAGGTGTTGCAGCCTGCTTTTTTGACTTAGGCATTATCGAAGTAGGAAATTGCGATTAAACTTAATGTACAAGCAAAGAACCCAATAATAATCCGATCGGCTCAACTGCTCTGACGAAAGTGAAATATCTCAAGCCCGTAAGTCTCCTTTCTTCAATACCTGTGGCCAGGCCCACATTACCAAATCTACTTGGGAGATGCCAGGATGGAATGCAAGTTTCCGGCCACTCCAGCCATACTGTCTAGCGGCAATAAATCATTTGAAGCCGTAAGGGCCTACAATGTATTAAGTGCGACAAATGCAATTCAAATGAAAATCAATCTGTATTTTTCGCGTGTGAAACACTACATTGTTACCATCATATTATTTTCATTATGGGACTGTTTCTCATGATATTCAATACCCCTCTGTTACACATCGTGGGAAATAATTGCACGAAATTTCAGTTTAATACATCTTGTATTTCTTGAGTTATTGATCGGAAACTGAGTTGTTATTCTTGCTCAATAGTGCAGCATCCGCACTTATAATCTTTTATTTAATAGAGGGCGCGCCACATAAATAGTGGTCTCTAATAATCCACCACCAAACTCGTTTGGGGACAACAACTCCAGAAATACAAGATGTTTTACATTGAATTCTCGTCTAGTGATTTTTCATTATGTTTAACAGTACAACATTTAATTTCATAAGAAACCGTAAAACAATGAAGCAATATTGACTGTAACAATACAGTGTTTTAAGTGTGACAAATGCAATCCGAAGGAAATCAATGTGTATTTTTTTCGCGTGTAAAACACTACATTGTTACGATCATATTATTTTTAATATGGGACTGTTTCTCATGATATTCAATACCGCTATGTTACACATCGTGGGAAATAAATGCACAAAATTTCAGTTTAATACATCTTGTATTTCTTGAGATATTGATCGGAAACTGAGTTGTTATTTTTGTTCAATAGTGCAGCATCCGCACCGATATTCTTTTATTTAATAGAGGGCGCGCCACGTAAATAGTGGGCTCGATAATAATCCACCACCAAACTCGTTTCGGGGGCAACAACTCCAGAAATACAAAATGTTTTAAATTGAATTTTCGTCTGGTGATTTGTCATTATGTTTTACATTACGAAATTTAATTTCATAAGAAACCGTCAAACATTGAAGCAATATTGACCATAACAATACAGTGTTTTAAGTGTGACAAATGCAATCCGAATGAAAATCAATGTGTATTTTTCGCGTGTTAAACACTACATTGTTACGATCATATTATTTTTATCGTTGGACTGCTTCTCATGATATTCAATACCCCTCTGTTACACATCGTGGAAATTAATTGCACGAAATTTCAGTTTAATACATCTCGTTTTCCTTGATTTATCGATCGGATAGGCTGAGTGGTTATTTCTGTTCAATAGTGCAGCATCCGCACCAATATTCTTTTGTTTCAAAGACGGCGCGCCACATAACATAAAAAAGCGCCACTTTCGAGCTCCATTGCATCCAAAATGCTCAAAATTGGAAGTCCCAAGTCTAGGCCAGAGGTTCATTGCCATATTTTTTCGAATTCCCCAATTTTATGGCTCTCA